TCCAGCTGATAAAACACACACATATTGAAGAGCAAACTACTAAAAACAAGCAGCAGGACTGCAGGATGGTACAGCCTACTCAAACAGGGATAATAGATTGAAACACATTTCTAAGAGGGAGTTCTGGGAGATAGCCAGGAATCCTACAGTTTGTTTATACATCTAAATCCACATTTATAGCAACAGCACGCACTATAGCAAGAACATTTTATTATATACACACAAATAAAAAAATGTAGAAATAAAAAGAAAATACTAAAGCTATCATCTGCTTGTAATACTTGTATTACGTGCTAAGTAACACATATATTTTTTGATGACAGTGTTGGCAGCAGACCAAACTGTTTTAAAAACCACATTTAGAACAGTGATCAGAAAAATGCATTGGGGTGGGACAGAGGAGACCTACTTTCTATTCTTGTCTCTACTGCAGTTAGCTGGGTGACTTTACACAAATCACTGTGCCCTTGCCTCAGGTTCCCCATAATATCTGCTTCTCCAGCAAAACCTACCAAGATGAAAGGCAACAAGCACTATAGCCAGAAGGTATAATTGCTTTTGCCTCTAACTTCTTTTTATTGTTATTGCACAAGATGGCTAAGCAGGGGTGGGTGGGAGAGAAATCAAGTCACTTCCTCAAGACCAGAACACCTCTCTGACAAACACTACCAGATCAAAAGCAAAAGCCATTGCTATAAACAGAATTTTCCCTCTGAGAGGACAATACAAGAAAGAACAAATTGTTTTTGTTAAATAACAGTCATATCACCACTGGAGCATCATAATTGCTACTCAAGTATTATAAAGATGAGAACGGCAAGGCAGCATTAAGTACATAACGCTACTGAATACTAAGTTAGGAGAGCCTATCTCATACCACTGGTTATTGTCTCTGCGTTTGTTTGACTATTTTATTTGAACTTGTTTCTCTTCAAGCTTGCATATTAGGGTTTGTAGTGAAACTAAGGTAAATGACACAGGTAATCGTTAAAACTTACCTACAGCAAGTAACCTTACTGCTAGTTTTATGTTTGGAGACTGACTTCTGTTCAGGAGACCACAAACCTTCATCAAAACAAAAAAAACCACAGTAAACTACAAGCAAGCATTGATCAGCATTCAGATTAGAAACACGCATTGACAGAAAACTCACTATGGATTTCGGAGGGATCAAAATCTCACTGACCGCTAGAAGGATTATTTAAATAGATACTACCCATCAATAAACGGGGAAAAAAAAATCATCTGAATAACACAGAAAAAACATCTCTGGAAAAGTCACGGTAAAATAAAGCACTGTGTTTTATTCTGTGGCATCTCACTACACAGTACTTTTCAACTGAGTTGAAGTGAGTTAAATATCTAATGTTACTTCATTAGGTAACAGTATCTTTATACCTCATCTCTTCCAGATAGGAGCTGTACCCATCTTTAGTTAGCTTCACTCTTCAATTTAATAGAATTTACTGGTTTAATGGAAAAGTAAGGAGAAGACATACCAAAATCACTTGAAGAGCAGGATGCCAGCTGATGAGTAAGAGGATTGTATGAAACACATTGTATAGAGTCATTATGCCTAAAATAAAATTACAATCACATTTCAATAGATCATTCTTAAATGTATTGTTTTCTAACTTTCAGCAAGATAGCTGAAAGGCTTACCAGATGCCAGAAATAATTAGATCAGCTTATATTACATCGAATTAATCTGCAATTACTGTAAACTAAATCAATAATAAAATTTTTAAAAAGGTCTTTAAATGGAGGATTTGCTGTGTTTCATCAAGATTAGCTAAAAATATAGGTAGACAGTGGTTTGTGAAGTGTTGTGAAATGTGATTACAGCTTATAGCCAAATTCTAAAATAAGTATGATTGTGTATACTCCTAACTTCAGCAATAATTGTACACATAGCCAGAAACAGATTTTGATGACATAGCTTGAGAGACGACATATAAAACAAAGCCAAGGGGAAAGCTCCAGTCCTCATCTTTAATATAATTGTAGTTCAAAGACCAAACTAATGTGGTTTACTACACAAGATCAGAATCATACTGTTTCATTCCCTCTCAATCTATACAGACATTCCCCACTTCTCTGCCAGCCCTCTAAATTCATCATACCTTTACCTAGACTTCCCGTGCTCTTTCATGCCTTTAATTACTTTCCCTACTTTTCAGATACTTTCCTCTTCTTCTCTTCCCTCTCCTTATTCCCTACTAGCCTTTTCTCCAACCCTAGTTAATCTTCTTCCACTTCTAACATCGCTTACTCCTTGACAGCGGACATTCATGGCCAAAGTCTGTACTTGACAGGCACGGAATCGAAAGGAATCACTTACGTGTATTTCAGAATTCCTTCTAACTTTGAAGTCCAAATTATCACACTTTTATCCGCTGAACCAGATGCAAACCGTTTGCCTAGGAATTAAACATAATTTAAATCTCACACATTTAGGAATCACTTTCATTTCAAATATCCAACCAAAGAGAGAGCAAGAAGTTCTTGAACTTCACAAGGCTCAAGTAATAAAGGGCCTAACATTGCAAGTGTCGTCACGTGGCTGTGCTTCTCAGTCTGTGTGAACGGCCTTACTTTGTTATTCCCTCAGAGAGCTCATTGCCAAACCTGGCAATGCAAGTAGCCAGTCTGCCCAGTGCTGTCAGTCACAGGCTGAAGACTTACCTTACCAGTCCCAAGAGGAAAATGGTGCATTTTCACAAGTATAACGTAAATACGTTAGCACCTTTTGAAAGCACAGTATTTGACAGGAAGTCCTTACAGTCTGCACAGAATGAGAGTCAGAGACAACGAAAGATTTAGAAGCAAAGTGAGCTCTGTAGTGAGCGCAGCAACATATGAAGGATCAGACAATTGAGAAGCTCTGGGAGAGAGGAACTTGTGAAAAAAGATCAGAGGCAGGAAGACTGCTAGAAAGAGGGCCTTCTGGGGTAAGCCTTCTCCTCATGCTACCCCCACAAGTATCAATTTAACTACAGCTGAAGTAGAAGGGGAAGGGAAGTAGGGACTACAGTTCTTGGATTAACATAACAGGTAACCTTAAATTATAGACGTGAAAACGTAGTACTTCCTTCTGAGTGTAGCATTTGTAATGCATTTCAAAATCCCAATAATAAAAAGATCATACATGTTCAAAACATGATCACTGAAACCACCTTGATTACTTTACTTATCAATTTTCAACAACAAAGGGAAGAGATCGTGCTCTACAAAGTAGAATAACAAAACCTCAGAACTGATATTTACCATCTTTAGCATAAGCCACACAGTATACAGTGTCCTTATGTCCTTTCAAAGGCTGGATTAAGGTCCCATCGGAAGTATCATATACCTATAAAAACAAAAATGAACATAAAACCTCAGCCTTCCAATGAGTTGCACAGGACAAGGGCCTAAAGTTACCAAAAAAACCCAACAAGATTATGCACTTTCTTTGTGCTTGCTTTTATGCATGCAATCCATGTCATTAGTTAGTTAGGACAGGGCAAGAGAAGACATTTTAAAATGTAAGAGGACCCTTCCTTGAAGTAATGCTTCTCCTTCAACACTCCGAAGGAACGAATACTGAGCACTAGTCAATTACACGTATAAGAGACATCATGTTTGACCTGCTTGCTTTACATCATCCAATTCTTTCCCTATTTGAGAATTATTTTTAAACTTAACAAATTACTGGAAAGGACTATCATTACATACACTCTTCTGTGAACAGTGAAACTAATAAAGCCTGCTCCTGCGACTCTAAATTACACCTCTGGAAGCGTGACATCCATCCACCCCCACGTGAGAGCTTTGCAAGACACCATACGAGAACCTTGGTCCCAAGCTGGGTTAGCAGCAGGCAAGCAGGCACGGGGTGCTGGGTAAAGCTCTAGTTGAATCTTCTCTCAAAGCAGGGACGTTAAGTGGGGCTTCTTTCCTCTTTTCAGAGGGATTTCCATGAAACTGGCAACACCATAGTATTTGTATACCTTGGCGACTGTGGGAAGTTTAGCTAAGAGTCAACGCGTTCAAAACCTCTGGGCGAGGTAAGGAAGGACAAGATGACACAAGCAGCGTAAAGCTCATTACCTCTGGAAATGAAGCTAAAAAAACGGTAAGAAACATCAAATAGCTTTGAAATACTTTACAGCTAGAGCATATGAAAACATGCATACGTTGGGCTGGCGCAGGAGGGGTTAGAGGATTTTTGGCAGGTTCATACATTCGTAAGTCAAAATCACAGCCCCGCGGCTGCAACCGCAAGAGGAAAGAGAGGTGTCCTACCAGCAGCCTGTTGCCAGCAGCAATTATCAACTGGGTCCCGTCCGGCTTGAACGCAAGATCATAAATACTAAAGAAAAACAAAGCAAATCCACCCACGTGAGCTGACAGACCTTTAAATACCTGAAGAGCCAAAACACCCTTCCATCGATTTTCAACGGAACTTTAAAGACTTCGCACAACAACCCCCTCCCCCCCCGCCAGCTCCGGG